GCTGCCTTCTCTATGGCAGACTCATCCCCAGTTCAACTGACTAGCCGGCTAGCCACGGACAGCCCAATTTGTTTTGCGTGCTTCGGCATCTTATTGCAGTAGTCTGTTAGTAATAGCTCCCAGGGCCAGCTTTCAGCCGACCCGGCCAGCGGTCAGACCCGGCAACCGGTGCGGTCAGTTGTGTTTATGTTTACGGGCATTGACCACATGACCTGGCCGAGGTCGCCTGTGCGGGCCAGATTGACTGCAGACTGGATGAAGGAACGGCCGGGTGTAGCCGGGGGTTGAGTTTGTCCAGGAGAGCGACTGTAATACAAGTAACCAAGTGAATCAGGGTCCACATTCTCAATGACAACGCTGACATTCAGCAGAAGTCTGATCGCGGCACATATTTCATGTAAAATATGGAAACATGTGCCGCAACATCGGTCGAGATGCCACTCACGAACCGACTCCTTAAGAGAGCGGTTCCAACAGGCGTGCCGCGCTCCGAGGTATTACACGCACCACGAAATAAAGAGAGTAAATCGGACAGAAACACACCGTTGTCTCGGAGGGTGGCTTGCGTCGCTGGTTGAACCAGTCTTGATACGTGCTCTGGGCCTCAACTGAGGCTCGCACCGCCTTTCAGACTATAGCAATCTTTGTCAAAACGACTGTATTACACTTACGACCACAATATACCAGCCATTTTCGAGAATAGCGGCAATGAGTCACCTTACCTTTGGAGATAAGACTCTTACGATATCATACCGGCCAGGGCGTTCGCAGTAGGCCGCAGCCTCAAAAGATGGCGTTGATCGATGATTGGTCAGCGCGTCATCTGAGCGTTAGAAGAGTCAGCTGAGTGTTGGGCGAAGCCCGCCGTCGCGGTAGCAAGATCGGAGACAGCGAATGAAGCAGGATTCGGGGGAGGGCCACGATTTGGGATAAGGGAGTAGGTGTAGAAGAAGAAGTGATGATAGGGATGGGAGGAGCAATGGGGGTAGGAGCAAGTGCATGGTATCGTATGGTATTTTGGTTTTAAGGGGCACGTCGACTGAATCCAGATAGGGTAAGTATGTAGAGTAATGGAGAATGGAGGGTTAGTATGAGAGTATGAATAGGGTTAGGGGTAGGGATAGAGGCGAGGTAGGTGCAGGGGTAGGCACAGGTGAGGCTAGGTTAAATCCCGTGAAAATATCGGGATAGTAGCATCAGTTGTTTCTGCGGCGCTCAGAAAAAATCCCACGTCGTCATCGCGCATTGCGCATGGTGTGGCTGCGACCGCACGCTATCAGTGGATACATGGCATGTTGCTGATATCGTTCTACCGGAATTATCATGCAACAGTTTGGGAAAACAAAGTATGGGATGTTGAAGCGGGAGTGTACAGCTCGTGAAAAACAGTAAGTAATTATCCTCGCCAATTCCGTCCGTAGGTTTTTACTTCAACCACGACTCAGATCAGAGTCAGACCGAAGTCCCAGCACACTGTCGACAGCAGGCTTCAAACATCCTTTGTGTCCCCTTCGGACAGCGCATCCATCATCCCAATTCCCGAACCGAGGCCAAGAAGTGCCTTCCCCACCACTAACCAACTGGTATCCAACCGTTGCTAGAGGCCTTCCAGGTCGTGATTGAAGAAAAACCTACAGGCCAAATTGGCGAGGGTAACTACTCACGCCTTTTTTGACGATCTGTGTCTTCTTGCTTAAAATACTTCTCGTTATTTTCTCAAACTTCTGGACAATAATTGCGACAAAACAGCATTAGCAACTCGCCACGCATCCTCTAACCAGGTGCAATGACGGCCATGCCATGCATAATACGCAATGACAGCATGTGATTTTTTTTTGCTGCGGGACCATAATAACATATGACGTCACTGTCTCAATAAAGCCGATCATTTTTCGAGATTAAATCGAACGCAAACTAACCCTACCCCTACCCGTACTCCTGTCCCTACACTTTTTCCTTGTTGCCTCAATGGGAGGCTCCATCCCATGCTCAGCTGATTCGCCGAATGCTCAGCTGATGCGTCTGGGTCATCGATAAGTGCCGTCTTCTGACACTGTGGTGTACTGCGGACGCCGTCACCGGTATCAGATTATATTATTTTTCTCAAAGATAATATGATACATTGTCGCCGTTTTCCGAGAGTGACTGGTATATTGCCATCTAACGAAGCCTTATATAGTTGTTTTATAAAGACTGCCACGTTCTGAAAGGTGGAGCGAGCCTCGATTAGCGCCGTCTTCCAGCTCTTCCCCATCACTTCACGTCAGTGTCTCCCTCGACTCCATACGACACGCCCCCACTTGCTGGCGCTTGCTGTGATTTGTGCGCACTCTCATCGGTATCGGTTTGTCTGGCGTGCCGGTGACCGCTGACTGCTGCAGCCGGTTAACCACGCCTCTGGCGGGACTGACCGGCCGGGGGCGGGGCTGAAAACCTGACGTTTCGAGACCGGCACCGTCTCGAAACGTTAGGTTTTCTCACAGCAGGTGCCAACCCTTTCTTGGCAATGTCGCTTAAGAAGCATGTCCTAGGATATCAAAGGTCAAATATTTTAAACACGAAAACTCATGATGCCAAAACGACTGCATCCTTGCCGCTGCGACGAAAACAGGTGTGTTAATGTGAATTCGCTCCTAATTTTCTGACCATCCATGAACCAGTCGGTGAGTGAACCCATGGTCTGATCTGATTGGATATCGGGACAGAAAAGTCTAGAGAACTGGAATGGCAAAAGATACCAAAACATGGCATATCCATCTTTTCGTGACATTTCAATGGCCATTACCATCCAGACCAAAACAGACCGCCGCAGTAATCAACATACACTGTTCCTGAAAGCGAATCTCTGAAGTGAGAGCAACGCGGAGAGACTACAATGATAACGCCGCCGAGCTACTGCAGGAGTTGCTGTGGGATCCCCTAGACCATGGGTCAAGCATTTCATGACAGTCAGCTTATGATCCACCTCAATATGAGAGAAACGTGGGCACGTAAAGATGCCAGTCATTTCCGGCACCAGTACCGTCTTTGTAGGCATTATGGATGTGAACGCCAACGCATTAGGCTGGGATGTGAATGTTTTTAGCAAGTGGATGATGTGTGATTTCCCCATCTTCCGTAACAGATACATGTAGATTTGACCGTAATTTGCACATGTGCACGTGCACAAGTGGCAAAATTGGCGCAGCGGCTAATCATCTCATAATGGCCTCTACGATACTGACATGAGAAACTCCATGTGACCCTACGTCACATTCCAATTTTTCGCATAATGGTGGTCAGAGCCGCGCTGCAGCCAGCAACCGACCATCTCGCCACACACTTTCTTTTCAGTCCCGTGCCTCAAACGCTCGTGGCAGCAGCGCGCCCTGACGTCTGGGTCCTCCAGCTGGCGCCGCACTGTTTACGGCTGCCCGAAATGTTGATGAAACTGACCCCATTCCTCCTGTTGTCCGTGTGCGGGTAGCGCGAGCGCAGGAAAATGGGAAGAAAAAATAATACGGGTGACAAATGTGCTACAGTGGGTCTGTGGTTGGTTCCCGTGCCTGCGTTCCCAAGTCCTGGGCCTCAAATTTACACACATTGGTGTAGGTGTGCTCTCCAAGACAATACAATACTGATTTATAGAATTGGCAGGATGTACAGGAAACTGTGACGCCCTCCAATTTGCCCACGAATACCTCCCGTACCGTTTGAACTGCAGGGATTGAGTTTTGGCTACGCGATTTCAAATTCACTTTACAAGGTACCTTAAAGACCAGGCTCGTGAAAACATCTGATGCAATATCCAATCAGTGAACGCAAGGGTGGTTTGAAGGATAGTTTATGTGCTTATCGTACATATTAAAACAGCTGGACAACGTGTTTGTCTACGTCAACTGAAATTGCACAGTGTCTTGACTTTCAAAAGGCCTTTTGTGATAAGTTATTGCTGGGAAGGCTTAGATACTCCTGCAAAGGCAGCAACATTGTGATTTCTGATCAGTAATTAACACAATTACCGATTATCGACATTCGAAGCGATTCTATGCTCGCTAACTTTAGACCGGCTATCGAAGATGGAGAGGCCATTCCAGCAATATCCAATTTAGCGCCATTCCTAATTGCTTAATTGCGAAACACACATTCATGAGAGGAGACCAAGGTCCAGCGCTGCTGTTGGGAGATTGCGCCCGAGATCCAATGTTGCTTCGGGGAATCGGATTCCAAGATCCAGCGCTGCTACGGGGAATCGGGGTCCAAGCTCCATTGCTGTTGTGGGGAATTGGAGTCCGAGGTCCAGTGCCGCCGCTGGGAGTAGGAGACCAAGATCCAGTACCTCTGCTGGGAATCGGAGTCCGAGGTCCAGTGCTGCTGCTGGGCGCCCACACCAGCCGTTTTAGCTCATTTGGCGTCGATATGCAGATCTACGTTGTCAGAGATTCGGACACGGATCCGTGTATAGTCAGAGATTCGGACACGGATCCGTGTATGGTCAGAGATTCGGACACAGATCCATGTATAGTCAGAGATTCGGACACGGATCCGTGTATGGCCTTCCAGGAAGCATGCAGTACGTGCCGGCGATCCGAAATAATCAACGTAACTGGCGCAGAGCTCCATCTGCTTGGAGCTCTTCCCACCGCAGATAGTCCGACATGACCTGCATGCCAGGGCCATCGCTTTTATCACGACGCCCCTGGGGCTCGTCATGCCTGTCCATTGAGTAACCTTGTAATCTTCACGCGATGCTGAGTCGCACTCACGCATCTGGACTTGCGTGTTGGCGGCATACAAATGCGCTTAAGCGGTGTTGTCTGAGCCAATTGGTATGACTCTTGCTCGAATGTTCACAGGCGTTCGACCGATGCTGCAAAGCATCTTCTCTCTGCCTGCAACGCGCGAAACCGTCTGAAGAAACGCGAACAAGATCCGCTCGCAGCAAAACTGGCAGTGCGAACCTCCGACGTATATTTACACTTTCGTCAACACCTACAAATCACACATTTGTACACCGTCTTTCACAACGCGTTCTGTTTGGGCGCCTCGACGGTCGGGGTCGGCTCCCGCCCGTCCAAAGCGTTCCCCGATATCACCGAGCACGTGCTCTCGGCGACCACGGAGGCCCGCTCCGCCTCCTCGGCCGCGTTCACGGCCGCCGAGTGGTTCAGGAATGCCATGTCGGAGGTGTTGGAGGTGGAGGGCAGCACGCCACTGCGCGCCAGCTGATTCAGCGTCAGGTTGCGCCTGTGGCGGCGCCAGTGGTGCAGCCGGCGCGCGCACAGCGCCAGGCAGGTGAGCACGATGCCCGCCGCCGGCACCGCCATCGCTATCACACTGGCGTAGTTTTTGCGGCGGCCTCGCATGTAGAGGAAGCCGGCCTGCCGCGTGGTGACCCGCAGCGAGGCCAGGCGGATGACGTACTCGGCGCGGGGCAGAGCCAGCCAGAAGGTGTACTCGGTGCCCGGTTCCAGGTGGTTGAAGGTGAACGACTGCGCCTGTAGGCCCATGTTGTTGACGCGATAGCTGGTGGCGTTGCCGGCGCCGGCCGGCGGCTCCTGGATGAGCAAGAAGGCGACGAGGCTGCCGCCGGCGACGCTCCACGAGACAGTGACGAAGTTGGAGGTGACGGACACGGCGTTCAGCTGCACGCGCGGCCGACTCACGGCCACGCGGACCGCGCGCGCCGCCGAACCCAGCCGGTTGGCGGCCGTGCAGGTGTAGAGGCCAGCGTCGGCCGCGTGCAGGTACAGCACCGTCAGCCGGCCGCGCTGGTGGCCGGCGCGGCCGGCGCACGCGGCCTCGCCCAGCCGCCGGCCGGACGGCAGCGTCCAGACGAGCCGCGGCGCCGGCCAGCCGCCGCTCGCGCACTGCATACTCAGCGACTGGCCGAGCGGCTCGGAGCGGTTCTGGAAGAGCGGCAACACGTGCGGCGCGCAGCGCTCCGGCTGGGCGCGCAGCCCCGGCGGCGCGCAGACAGCGTCGGAGGTCGCGGTCAGCCGGCCGGCTGGAGCGCGCAGCCAACGCAGCGCGCAATCGCAGCGCAACGGATTGCGGCGCAAGTCGAGCTGAAGCGCCGCCGGCGGCACGACCGCCTGGCTCAGCGCCAGCAGCGCGTTACCGGAGAGGTTCAGGTAGCGCAGGCTCGGCACCCGGCGTGCCATCTCGGGCTGGATAAAGTCGAGGCGCGGGTTCTCGGCGAGCGTCAGCCGCTCCAGCAACGGCATATCGTCGACGGCGTGGCGCGCCACGCGCCGCAGCGGTGCCGCACGCCGCAAGCGCACGTCGCGCGCCGCGATCTTGTGCAGCGCACGCGTGGACAGCCGCTCCACCGGGCACCCGCTCAGCTCCAGCACACCCACCAGCTTGACGGCCTTCAGCGCGGCGGTCGGCACACGGCGGAACAGGTTGTCGGAGAGGTCGAGCGAGGCGGCGTGCAGGCCGCGCAGCGCCGCACCGTCCAGCCGACTCAGCCGGTTGTGCGACAGGTCGAGCCGCGAGAAGTTGCGCGCGCTCGCGAACGCGTCGCTGGCCAGCCGCAGCAACAGGTTGTGCGACAGGTCGAGCTCGCGCAGCTCGGCCAGGTCGATCAGCGCGAACCGCGTCAGGGCCGTCAGCAGGTTGTGCGAGAGGTCGAGGACGGCCAGCCGCGGCAGCACCAGGCCCGCGTCCGCCACGCTGCCGATCCGGTTATGCGAAAGGTCGAGCCGCCGCAGCTCCGCGAAACTGCGGAACGTGTTGGCCGCGACCGCCGTCAGCGCGTTTCGGCTGAGGTCGAGCTGGCGCAGCCGCGGCAGCGCCGCGCCCGTGCCACTCACGCCCGTCACGCCGGCGCCGCTGCAGTTGAGGACGCGCGCGCGCTGCAGCAGTCCGAGCGCCGCGAAGTCGAGCCTGCCCAGACGGTTGCCTTGCAGGTCGAGTTCGGTGGTGTTCTGCGAGAGGCCGGTCGGCGGCGCCGTGAGATTGCTCGCCGCACAGTCGGCCACGCTGCCGCGGTACTGGCAGCTGTGCGCCGCGCCGGCGCCGGCCAGCCGACCCAGCAGCACCAGCGTTAGCAGCAGCGGCAGCGGCGGCGTCGGCGGCATGCTCAGGCGCGCGGCGCCGCGCCGTCGGTCCGCTTCCACCGCCCGGACCAGATTACCGTCATCGGAGCCGCCCTGGGGATGCACGCCGCGTCAGCGTAATGAGGCTTGACGCCGCTCAGAGCTCATGGCGCATTCATAACTCGCCGAATACGGCCCCGACGGGGGAGCGGGCTCAAGGGCGGCCGTTATTAATACAGAACGCCGGCGGCCAAAGGGAAAGTAAGCTGGCCCCCGCCGCCGACTTCGATGACCTGCAGAAGTTTAGAGGCTATTGAATAGAAATTGTGTTGATACGATACTGCTCAGGGGCACTTAACGTTAGTTCTGAGCCTCCTTAGGGGATCTTGGAGCACTAGCTAACCTATTGGAATTGTTTTCCATCCTCTTCAACTCAAACCCACGATTAACAGCTATTGGAAATATTAAACCGTCATTGACGGCAAAAGCCTACGAAAATAGTTAACCACCGTATAAGTTCCGGTATAAGCATTAGAAGACTAGGAAGGCTCCTACTGTCCTTAACTTTTGTGAGAAAGCTGAATACTAGTACTATAGGGATTTCATAAATACCAAAGCATGAGCCCGCAGTCGTAGATGGCCTACTCGCCGCTCAACGTATGCCTACACTGAACTATGAAAGGCGTCAATAATTTTGCGTAAAAAAAACTGATAAAATCAAGTCACGTTTTACGGCCTTATTTCTGGAAACCGCGTTTGCGCCCATATATAGATGCATGTCGAAGTTATCAAATAGGTTTTGAATTGCTATGAACTTCCGCCGAATACTGGTCTTGTACCAGGCTTTTAACACAGCGCGCAAGCCAAACGAGAGCGGGATGACTTTGACACCTCAGCGTTGGACTTGTAGAAGCGGCTTCCGCATGGATGTCGTTGTCGACGCAAATGTGCAGGTACGGATCAATGGCTATATGTTTGTCTTTCATAAAAGCTGGTAACTAGGACCATATTCAGTGACGTGGCCACAATTCAGCCAAGAGAGCCCCACTTCATCGCTAGAGGGACCCCGTTTCCGGTTTCGGCGGTCCTTCCTAAACTGGAGATCCATTTCAATGCATCAAGGACTTGTGTTTCATGTTTTAAGCTGCGGACATCTACCACTTCCAGGGCAGGGAGGGACATGGTCATAAAAGCCAAGTTCCTGCGGCTACGCCACCGACTATATTTCGAGAGATGTCCTTTGGGAAATCCTAAGAGCAGGCAGAAATCAAAAACGGCATAGGCATGGCATCAAATGTGTCTAAAAAAACGAGGCATGCTACCAGTTGAGAGCGCGAAAACAGTGCTTTAGCCACCTGTGTTCCGCTCTTTTGGAATTGGGAGATGCTGGTCCTGCAATGTAACTGTAGGAAGACGCGAACTTCTGCAATGCGATATCTCAGTATCTAGCGCAAGAGGCGCATTGTGGCCTCACCTGCTGCAAAACAAAGGTTGGAATTGTGTTGTCGACGCGAGACATCCTCGGATGTGTGTGTGTGTGTGTGTGTGTGTGTGTGTGTGTGTGTGTGTGTGTGTGTGTGTGTGTGTGTGTGTGTGTGTGTGTGTGTGTGTGTGTGTGTGTGTGTGCGTGCGTGCGTGCGTGCGTGTGTGTGTGTGTGTGTGTGTGTGTGTGTGTGTGTGTGTGTGTGTGTGTGTTCGCCTCATCTGAAATTCCCCGGATGCAATGTAGCATTGTGTCATAAAGTGTCATTGCAAAACTAAACACGCAGTCATTTAATCACCTGTTGTCCTGCAAATCGTCATCTTGAAGTATGTAGTTACTCGCAGGTTTATTTCAGTCGTAGCACATGGGTGATTGACACTCCTTCTCTCGCTCTTTCCGTCTCTGCCCTCTTTCTCCCTCACCCTCTCTCCCTCTCTCTACTTCTTTCCCTCTCTCCCCTTCCCTCGCCTGAATAACTCGCCTCAGGCGACCCACGTGGCGTGACCACGCTGGCTCTACAACATGCATGTGGTCACGGTCCCGCCACGGCAGGTGCGGCCTGCCCCGCTCAGGCCCGCCTGGTCGACACTTAGTCACCGGCTGACGGCGCGGGGTCCTAACTCGCGGCCGGGCGCCGGCGCCCCCCCCCCCCCCCCCCCAGCCCGACGTCTCTGACTGGCTCGGTAAGCAGCGGGCTGGAGGCGTGGACAGCCTCGCGCGAGACATCGATCTGCGTCGCCTCCGCTGCTGCTGTTCCAACTCCGGCAGAACTGGGCCCATTTCCATTCATAAATATGCCTTTGCCACTTGAGAAAGGACAATGTATGCAACTTAGGCTCGCAGGGGTCCGAACGCGCCACCACCGACACGTCATCGAATGGGAGCAGCACGTGTCTGTCACCATCAGGGGCAGGTGCTATATCGAGTATTGGGAGACAGTGTTCCGAGTATTACGCCAATTGCCGGCGGCCAAGACCAGACAAAGAAAGCGCCGCAGTCGGTCGCGGCCATTACCACGGTCTCTCTCTCTCTCTCTCTCTCTCTCTCTCTCTCTCTCTCTCTCTCTCTCTCTCTCTCTCTCTCTCTCTCTCTCTCCACGGTCGCGATGGGCCATTACCCCTCCACCCATCACCCCTCCATAGATATACCAGTGGTCTCCATGGTAGCGTGCCGCACACCTATCACACCATATCCAAAACGCTCTATCATAAAGCATGATCCGATGCGATTGATGGACCCGCCTGTCCATGTCCGCGAGGGCGTAGCTGGCCGGATGGACGAGGTCCACGCGGCCTGGCGCGGGACCTTGGGCAATACAGACAATACAAGACTGTCTTTGTTTGTTTTTTGTTGGGGACCTTTCGACCGGAAATGATCATTTCGGGGCAATGGGATGAAGGAAAATGGTTTCCGGTGAGGCAGACTTGCATTCACCTGGGAGGAGGGGGAGGGGGGGGGGGGGAGGGGCAGCCGCCGAGCTTAAACCCGCGCATGCGCGCCGGTCGGGATCCCTTCCCACGGGGCTCTCGGTCCACTCGTGGCTGACGCATGCAGCCCGCCCCGGACAAGCGGGGTGTCGCGAGGATGCAGGATGAAACAAGATAGAGGATAAGAGGTACGGATGCTTTCAAGACAAGGCTGGGGAGCTGATCTTGGGGCCGCCTGGATCCGCTTCAGACTGACAAGTCCCGGTCCGGGGAGAACACCTGATGTGTCATGGTATGTGCGCTCGGACCGAGGAGAACCCCTGATGTGTCATGATCCGTGCGCTCGGACCGGGCAGACCTCCTGACATGTCATGATCTGTGCGCTTGGCCTAAGGAGAACTCCTGACGTGTCATGGTCTGTGCGTTCGGCCCGGGGAGAACTCCTGACGTGTCATGGTATGTGCGCTTGGCCCGAAGAGAACTCCTGACATGTCATGGTATGTACACTCGGACCGAACAGATGGTTTGAACGGAGGCTGGCCGTGCGCTCTGTTCCTCTGAGGTGGAGCTCTCCACCGGCCTGCCAAAGCTGCGGATTTCGGCTGAATCCGTGGATGGGCACGACTGAACCACCAGGGATTTAGGTCTAGAAGTAAATCATGGAGCTGAAGATCTCGAAATGGATTAGGAATCGGTTTGAAGCATGCGCTTGTTTTTTTGACTGCACAAGTGAAAATGGGCCGGAACAGAAAAGAGTCCTGCGCGAATACGAAAAAGTACAGATATCCACACACGCGGCATCTAACAGCTATTGCCAGAATGCAGTGTGATGGTGTTCTGCATTGAAACCAGAATCTTTGTAAAAAGTATATGGATGGGTGGGTTCGATTAACCGTGTGTGGATTGCATTGATATGAGCCCTGAAAAAGAGACTCAAGCAGAACTCAACTTTGTGGATTTCAATTACAAAGCTAAGTACACTTCTAAAATCAATATACATTGGAAAAGTGGTGGCGTTTGAAGTGTGGATATGCCGTGTCAGTTGCAGAGGTGGGGGTCTGCTATCGATGCGATCCGCATAGCTACCAACATTATTAGTTCGAAGGTCTTATGCCAAGTCACTGACCTTCAATATACGAAGCGGTAATAGTAAAACAACCTTGTAGAGCAAGCATTGGTTATAATGTCAGTGCTCAGCGTTTCCAACTGTGGGTATGCTGACGAGTAACACAGAATAGCTGGAAGCGTCGCGTATTGACAATATAGCTAATTTTTGCTCTACAACATCTTTAAGCCAATGCTCTCCGGTATATCGAAGGCAAAAAACTCAGAATGAAAGCTCTGAACTCATAATGTCGAAAACCAGGAGGTGGAGGTATTTCTTACGCGGGTGTACACGACGGCTAAGGGCATGGGCCGCATGGTGACACAGGCCCGCGCCTTTCAAGTGCAGTTATTAAGTTCCAAACTGTCCAGAATGTCATATGCCAGAGACACACTGTTAGTGGTATAATGACAGCCAATACTGAATAATGTACTCTAAAACGATAGTATTACCACTAACATTACTTTTCCTGGAGAACAACGAGAGCAGTCCCGCACTTTATTTGCAACTTTCACGTTCGATGAGCCACTCGTTACAATCTCATTCTCTGGTCCGAATCGCTTAGTTAGTTCTGCTGAGCGTCAATTTCATTGCAAGTTTCTGTTCGTGTCTTTTGCAGCGCAAACTTTGGGACAGCTAAGTTACGCTCCATTATCTAGCCAGTTGCGCCACATTAGTGCCGAAAAGGCAATCTTTCGTAACGGTGGACGAGATAAAATGAGTTGCAGGCAACTCAGTACGCCGCGTTGCGATGACATTGTTTCAGCGATCAATCGCATTCCGCTATAATGGCTCCGAAATTTGGCAAATATGGCGGTTCATCGAGTGAAATCCGAGCTGGAATCTGCCTTTCTGCTAGGGTAAATACCCGTATGTACGCGCGACGCTCGGTGTGTACTGCAACGATCCAGCGCCATTCATGCATTTAAAAGTCCAGCCGAGGAATACACTCATCATA